CGCAGGCGAGAGATTGTAATTCCCATACAACACGGACGCGAATGTTGTAAACGACTTATAAAACTCCAACACAAATTAACATGAATTACAGTGAGATAAATGACGAAAAATGACAAATAAGGTAACTGCTGAGTTTAGTCCCTATTAAGCATGCGCAATTTACTGCAACACAGAACATTTTGAATAATTATCCATCCCACATGGAAAGCAAGCCATCTGTTGCATAAGCGAGTTCTGTTATCCGTCTTTGATTGCTTCAAAACCTAGTGAAGGTCTATGATGCGACACTAAAACTGAGACCTTTGCTAGTGTTGGGTTGTCTCAATGGTGACGACCATGTTGTAAATCTGATACAACCACTAGTGGTTGTATCAACTTATAACTTTCATTTTTTTCAGAGACATTAAAACATTGATATAAGGTAACAAATAATAAACTTAAATAATAAACATTACTCGTTTTTACCTCGCTATGTTCTGAAAATACATCGCTGTCACTAATCTCAGTTTCGGATGATTCACTGTCTGATTCCTTCATCCCATTGGATGTCAAAGAAATTGACCGTGGGGACCCTGGTGATATTGGCTCTCCACCTGGGGAGTGGGGTGGGGATTCTTGTACTGTGAAATCCTCAGCTGATATTGGTGGWGGTGACTTTGCGAGGGCGTGTGAGTGGAGATCAAAAATGGCYGACATCTTTCTTGGGGAAAACTGTTCTTCAAAGCTACTTTTGACAACAGTTTCTGAGAAATGGATTGTCTGTAAAGCTTTATCGATGCGATAAGCTTCGTTATCACTAACGTCAAATTCTGTCAAACCAAGTGTCTTGCAAATGCTGAAAAACGAAAGGAACGCCATTGAAAATTGAAGAAACTTGATGCTCCCTCTATACAATGAAATCTAAAGAGGTCTGAAGCTTTGAACACAACAGAAACTGAGATACATTCTGTTATTTATTAGGATATAATTATAATTGGTTATTCAAGTCATGCATTATTCATGAGCTAAGAGTTGTTTATCAGAGAGCAAAGTTAGAAGTACATGGGAAAGAATAACAATAAATTGCAAAAAACGAGAAGAAAAATGGGTTGGCAAAGGGCAGATATGGATTGTAAAGAAGACAAGAAGAATGGTCTTTTTAAACATGACCAACCTGTTACACTTGTGTGTACTGAAGAACAAAGCCATCCCAGCTGGACCAAGGTTTGCTTCACCATATTCTTTGCCATGTGCTGTGTGGATCTGAGGGTCTGTATATAGATCACCWACTCCTGTTGACCACAACAAACAGTGTTATAATATCATAAAACATGATGCCTAAACCTTATCAAGCATTTAAAATTCAGAAAAAATCTATCAAAACTCTGATAAATACCTTGGATATCAACCACAATAAGTTGATGTCCAGACCTTTCAAATGTAAAGTGGCTGAAAGCCTGTTCAAACAACATGTCAGTAATTATAAACATTGTGATTCAAATCAATATGTTTTTCATACCTGAGGGGTTGAACGCAATGTTTCATCTCGAAGAACAAAGCCTGAGTTRGAGTTGTACTTCTTGTAGACTCCTTCAATGAAATGTTCAAGATGGTAGAGAGGTGATCCCTCCCTTTCATTCAGTTCTATGATATACGTCTGGAAAATATCCACCTAATATGAAAAAAGGTTAAAAATAATTGATAGTCGATAAAACAGGGTGAGAATATTTTGCTAGCCATGACTGTGTTGGCATTTCAAAATTGGAATCTGGGAAAATTTAATCTCTGGAATCCAGAACCCAGGCACTTGCAATCTGGAATCTGGAGTCTGTGAACAATGGATTCTGATTTTGATAAAATGTGTAATCCAGAACACTCTATGATGGAATCTTGGAATCTGGAATCCTTTCTAAAWTGCATTATGTAATCMCAAATCCAGGAGTKTGGAATCCAGAATCCAGCAGACACAGTGGATTAAATGTTGTTTTAATAGCAGCACTATGAAATGATATTTGATACATGAATCTAGCTACCTTTTTGGGTGGATCTCTTCTGTTGTATTCCTCACCCCATAGTTTGGCATCCATYTGCAATCTTACGTCTTCRAAGTACTGTTCCCTGGGGACCTCTTCAATGTAGTGTTTAGCAACATAGTTACATGCATGCTTCCAGTTCATGTGCTTTGAGAAGTTTGAAAGCTTTTTGCTATCAGGAAAATATCARTATTTTATTAACATTAATTRTATATGTAGAMTTGCCTTTTATTTGTTCACAATCTCTACAATATAGGTTTACAGGAAGCCTTTGYGTCGGGTCRTCCTTGCAAMCTGATCTCTTTGGGKTTCTTGCTWCGCACCAATTTGTYTAAMCTCAAACACGCTGACTCCACACTGACRCTCCACTGAAYGTGGTCTGAKCCCTAAACACATGCGTGAACCCCACCCACAATTCCCRGGGRCGTGTTCCACAGGARCCCCACACTACAGATTTATCACTCTAGCAAGACTATATTTGATATTCGTTAGAGTATGAAAACCTGTTTAAGGAAACCTGAATCTAAGCTAAACTATGCTAGTTGAATTTATGAAATTCAATTCTAGAACAATGTCAAAAAAAAAAATTGTTGAAGAAATAATTTTGTTTTTCTATTGTGTATATAGCTACTGGTGGACTACATGCTTTTCAGTGGGCAATATTAATACAAACTTACAGTCTATGGCAAACTCTCATTGCACCTTGGTCAAATGGCTGGAAAAACAAAATGCAGTCTGAGTCAAAAATTGATAATTTATATTGTATATTCAATATTCATAGTATTATTAAATCATAATGAGAAGAAGACTTAGAAGAACTCACCGAGGACTCCATCTTAATGCGGACTTTATCCTGTACCCAAGTCTTTTTAAGTGCATTGTAACGATGCCGTATTGCGTTCTCCTGCGAACACATGTCAAGGTGAAACATCTCCCAAGGGTCAGGCATAGTCATGGCTTTTTTGAGTGCATGYTTCCAGCTGTTTTGATGCACAAACCTGGGATGTTTTCTACTTTTGGTTTCYTGCTTTGACTCTTCYGGTTTTTCATCTTGTTTGACTTCAGATGGTTTGGTGTCATTAGCTGGTTTTTCGTCGTCTTTGTCCAGCTCAAGGTCAAAACAGATTTCATCAGATGAAGCACTTATAGATCGGCCCGCAGATGCTAGCTTGCGGCGGGGCTTTTGAGCACTGTTGTTGCAACTGTTTTCACCATTAGATTTGTGTACTTCAACACAGCCATTTTGAACTTCTTTACCACAACAAGCTTAAACATATAGAAAATTAAAATGAGAAGTTTAATGAATTTTCTCTACAAAACTTTATTTTCATGTCTCGAAAAGGGGTTAAGAATTCCCTTTGTGTTATAGACTTTCTCAAAGTCGTACTACCGTTTTTTTTAAATTTATTTGACTTGAGCTTATAGCTGGCCTGCCCTTGCAAAAGTTCACACTCGGGCACTTCAGTGAACACATGGAAAGTGCAACGTTAAACAAATAAACACTTATTCTTATTTTAATTTGTACAAGAATTAGCATTGACTTTTGAACGAGGTTTTAATCGTGATGATGTTTATCCTGCAAACACGTGTTGGTTGAACAATAGAGTCGTACAAGACATCAAATTAATTTATAATTACCATATTCAAAAAACCTTTTTTTCTAGGTGAAAAGTCATTTTTGCACAAACGCTGAGTGTGTTTGAAGATTTGACAAAAATGCAAGCAAAAGCACAACAGCTGAAATGTTCGTGCTGTCGTTCGTGCTTCGAGGAGGTGAAATGAAACACTTCGAAATCAATCTCAATCTAGCACACAAGAGATTGCACGCTTATATAAATCTTTCTCAGTGGCTAATTTTTCACTGCATGCCACTTAATTATAACTAAAGTTGAAGCCCTTCCTGCTCTTTAAAATGAGCTATATTCAAATGCAAATATTTTGTAGTGAAATAAATAAATATTCAAAACAGTTTGCAATGTCATTCACGTTCTATGTCTGATATCACAGCAGCCAAACCCTTGTCCCGCAAAGTGATAATCCAAAMCATGTTAAATTAAGTTAAGTCTTAAAAGAAACCAATCTAAAGTTAAAAGGAGGCGAAAGTAGGCAATTAGAAATGGAGAGTTTTGAAGGCATCCTACCATCTGCATCCACGGAGCAGCAATCCATTCTTTTGATCGAAACTGGTTGTCGTGCGTTGCTCCAAGCGGTGTAAAATTGCCTTTCTCTTCAGCGTCGTGAAGTAGGTGATTAAAAGAAGGCACAAAAACTTCTGTAGGTACGAGGGTACATGGTTTTAGTACCGTTGTTTCTGCAGTTTTTGTCCTTTCTTCTACCTTTCGTTACTGACCATCACAACACAGCTGGGGAGCCCTGGGGCAAAGCACAGGGAACCCAATCTTATAAAAAAGCAAAAAAAAAAAAAGAAAAAAGAAATCCAAATTTTATCTCAGATAGATATAGAAGCCGAAACAAAATACTCTTTTCAAGCAAAGTACATTTCAAATGTATTTCATTGGAGTTTTGGGCAGGGTGGCTAGAGGATGGCCTACACTATTATGGAAGGGTGTGGCACAAAWAAAATTT